TTTGTTTATTTTTTTACTACTCTTTATTGACTTGCGTTCTGTCCATACATGGACTATAAATAAACAAAAGCTAATTTCTTTACAGGCAGTTTAACAAAACAAAAGAAACATGCCTACATTAAAAAGCATTATTTTGGTATGTAAAAGTAGAACAATTGGAGGTGATTTATTTCCATTTTTAAGCCACTTAATTCGTCTTAACTGCCGTCTACATTTTAGGGACAGGATACTCATATTGTGAATATGTTATGTATAGCTTAAAAACAATGTTGTTAGACATCTCCACCTACAGTATACCACATACACTATTACGATAATGCTTCATTTGAATGATTATGTTAATAATCAAGCAATTATATGAGATAAAAAATAAATCATTAGTTATTTACACCCAAATCTTCAGGACAGGTTGCTGGATAAGTATATTGCCTACATCGTACATAAGTCAAACTTGTGATACAGCATTGGTAGCACTTTTAACCTCTACAGAAGGCTGGGAGGACCTGCCTTTCTCTCCATTGACGGCTGGCTCCATCTCCCACGTCACTGAAGCAACCTGGGGGGCGCTCATCCTGGACACCATCCTCTCTTATCGGCGCACATAAAATCTGCTTACAAATCCGCCCTTCTACCATCTCAAAAACATTGCCAGACTCCGGCCTTCACTTCTCTGACTCTGGGCAGAAAACACTCTGTACCACGCCTTCATCACATTCCGTCTTGGACTCTGCAATGGAGCCCTGTCCGGGGTTCGCAGCAAAACCTTGCGACAGGGCCTCCAATACTCCGTCAGAACTCTGCGCCAGGCTTCTCACACGCGCACCAGCCATGGCAACATATCACCCACCACCCTCTATCCACCTCCACTGGCTGCCGTCAAGTCCCGGATTCAGTACAAAAACAACTCATCCTCACGTACAAAGTCACCTCCATACCCTCACCCCAAGTACTTATCGGACCTCCTCCAATCCCTACACCCCTTCAATCGGAGTCCTGCGGTCCTCAGACACGGGCACTTGCTCTCCATCTCGCCCGCTCTCGCCTCCGAACTGTTGCTGGACGGTGTTCAGTGTTGCGCGCCCACCCTCTGGAATTGCACCTCCTGCGAAGATCCGTAATGCTGCCTCCGCTGGACATCTTCAAATCATCATTCTAAAAAACACACTGTTCACCTGGCTTCGGCGCCCTAAAAACACTTCTTGGTCCCCGGCTTCTGTTATTTTATTGTTTGCCCTTTGATGTCGTCGCTTGTTTATGTCTGTCCACCATGTACAGGGACCTTGGGTCCATTAAAGGCGCCTATATATAAATTATCATCTAGTATTACTTATATTATTATTACTAAAGTGTAAATAAATAAATATCCTGCATAAAAAATTGTAAAAAGTATATGCATCTCTGTGTATCATCTCTTGCACCTCTAATATGTCGTTGCTATAGTTTTACTGCCATGTGTGGTAAATACTTGTGTGTGCTGCTCTTGCTCTTTTGCATATCATGTATTTATGTTTTGCTATGTTATACAAATCTCATGTTCTTAAATGTGTATGTCACGGATGGAAATTAGCTCAAAGCTCAAATCTGGCATATTTACACTTGAAGCATTATTTGTCTAAAGTGTTCATTAATGTGCATTGTCCCTATTCAAATAAACGATTAAATGAAATAAAATGAAATGAAAAATATGCCTAAAGCAACAAATTACCAAAAGTGCTCGTTAATGCTATAGGCCTGTTTTAAAATCCTATATTAAATAACTGGATTAGCATGACATGATAAAATGTTTCTTATTTTAGTAACTTCATATTTTGTTGCCGACTTTGTTAACCTAAAAATGTATGTCAATATTTTATTTAATAGCTAATGTACTGTATATTTCATATTAACACATATTCTCAATCTGTTAAATTGTCAGATGAAAGTAGTGGAGTAAAATGTACAATATTAGTTTCTAAAATGTTGTGGCGGTGAAGTGGTATGGTAGCATAAAATAAAAATACTCAAGTAACGTACTTTCAAATTCTACTTAAGTGCAGTAGGCTACTTGAGTAAATGTACTTCATTACTTTGCACCACTGATGCGCGTTTCCTACTCTAATCTGCGTTCATTCACACCCTACAGTCAAATCTCACAGTAAAGATGGCGGTGGAGCACGATGAAAGTGATGAAACCACTGCAGACTACTTCCTCCTCACACCGTCGATCAGAGCTCTGCAGCAACACGCAGCTGCAAAACATGAAGATACACAACACATGAACACACGTGACATGAAGAACACACACCAAGAACACACATCAAGAACACACATCAAGAACACACACCAGACTAAAGGAGGTCGTCATGAGATACTGCAGGGTGGCATTGAAGCATGCATGTATAAAGTTTACTATATGTTAAGTCTGTAAGGCAAAGAAATATGGTTGATTTGGAACTGGTAACATTTGCAGAGGTGAAAGAAGGGTTAATATCCTTTACTTAAAGGTAGGGTAGGTAAGAATGGAGAAAACAGCTCGAGTGCGCTAGAATTTGAAAGTACTCAGCCGGAAAAAATCTGCCCCTTCCTTCAGAGCCCCTCCTCCAACACACAGAAACGCGCACATGACCAATGAGGGCACGAGATAAGTGTCCACACAGATGGAAGGCTGACAGGCAGGTAGGCCATCCACTTATCTGACCCGGGCCGGCTCAGATGATTGGTCGTGCTTTTTACAGCACTACGACTTCCACAGATGAAATATTTGTATGTATTTATTGTCAAAGCATTTAATGTATTCATTGCTATCGGGATGTTAAGAGCGTTCCATGGAATATAACAAAAAGTGTTTCTGAAGTGAATTACCTACCCCACCTTTAAGTAAAAGAAGATGTATGTCAGTTTTAAAATATTCCATTACAACTGAAAGTTCTGCATCTAAAATGTTACTTAAGCAGAAATACAGTAGTCAGTCAAATCTACTTAAAGTCTAATAGTGAAAGTACACATTATGCACAATGGCTATTTGCATCACAAAAAATACATGTAGGTGCACATTTAACTGGATACTTAAATAAAGTAAATACTTCTACTTGTACAAATACCCATTTGGAGATCCATTAACTCTATCCAAATGTAATCAACTACTTTCAAATAGTTTGGCAATGGGTTAGGATAACAGTAAAAAGTATATGCAAAAAGTAGCTAGTAACTATGAGTTTTAAATATATGTAGAGCAGTCAGAAACACAATATTTTCCTCCAAAATGTAGTGGATTTGAAGTTTAGCTTAGCATAAAAAAGAAATACTCGAGTCAGTATGACACGATAATGCTTTGATGCAACTTCATGCCATAGTAGCCTACTATTGACACATTTGAAAGCAGCAGCAGCAGCAGCAGCAGCAGCAGAGCAGCGGTGTGTGAAACTGCAGCGCGTCATTTGCAGAAAGAGGAAGCGAGGTTAACTCCTGCGGCTCTATGCAGTCAGTGTGAGGCCGACATTCACACACTGAGAGAGCTTTATACACTTTCAACCACCTTTCCTCCTCTCTGCACGTTTACAGGACTCACACACTGCCATCTGCCACCATCAGCACATGTAAGTAGAATTGAAGTTGCTTTTTTGGAGTTTTCTGCCCTCAAAGAGCCCGTTTCTGTCCTAGACTGTTTGAAATGTGAGGTGTTTCTGCAGCAGAGTTCTGTGTGAGAGCATTTCTGTGTGCAGCCTCCTCCTCTGTCTGTGGGAAAGTAAGAAGACTTTTCCTCTTGATGTGCAGTGAGCTGAGTTTGACAGTCATGCGTAGTTACACTTGCACACATTAAGAAGCACGATTGCAACAATTGTGTAGAAGCTGAGATACTCTCCTCTCTCTTCTGTATTATCCTCTATAGTTTGTTACATATATATTTTTAAAAGCCTCACTTGTTTTTCTTGTTCTCGTGGATGTGGTGCTGCTTGCCGCTATGACTCAGAATAAAAAATTAGCCTACATGTGTCATTGTTCTTTACTTTTATTGCGTATACTTCCTTCCTCTTTTTTTATTTCGGCCCTATTTCCCTGAAACAATGATGTCCTAAAGCTGGTGAAAAAAAGTAAACATTAAGGCATTTAATTACAATTTAAATACACTTAACGACATCTGTACTCACACCGTAAACATTTCTCTCTGCTCTCCTCTTTGGTCTCTTGTCGTCCGATGTGTGGACTCACGTGTCACATTCAATGACTTGAGACTCGACCACACAAGACTTGCAACTAGACTTGGACTTTAACACCAATGACTTGTGTCTTCACTTGAGCATTTTGACCTAAAATACTAGTTTGTTTTATTTAAAAAGTATGGCATATAAATAATACAATTGCATCCACCATTAACGCTACTCACTTCCAGCATGTCACAACTTAATTCCCCACTTTGTTTGTGTGACGTAAATAACAAACAGATACACATTCTGACCCGTTAAGGATGGGAAACGTACCATTTTCAGACTTTTGACTTGCCCGTGTGGATAATGGACTTGACTTGAGACTCGGGATTTAGGTTTTAGGACATTATTGACTTGGGAATTGCCTTGGAATTTGACCTGGGACTTGTCACTCTTGACTTTGGGACTTGACTTGGGACTGGCCAGCCTTGACTTGGAACGTATTAGGCTTGACTTGGAAATTGACTTTGGATTTGACCTTGAACTTGTCTTATACTTTGGACTTGATTTGGAACTTGTCTGTCTTGACTCGGGAAACGAAACACCATCACGCCTCCTTTTCTCTTCCCTCTGTCACGTCTTTATTCTTCTTGCTGTGCTGCCCTTTGTTCCGTTTCTCGGGAGGTAATCCCCAACCAGACGCTCCTTACTGCTTCCCTTGGACTCTCCCTCTCTCCTCCTCCCTCCCTCCTCCTCCCTCCCCTCCTCTCCTCTCGCTGGGTGCTCCATGTGAGGAGCTCCAGTTCTTGCTGGCCTCCCCACTGCGATGCTCGTATGGCGGACTCTCCTCTCAACCACTCCTGGCCCTCCTTCTCCAAACTCTGGATGAAGAGATGGTCCTTCAAGAGAGGTAGTGCTTTAAGTTCAGATTACTCCTCGTGTTTTGGAGAGGAAATATTGAGTCGAAAACACAGGTAGTGGAGGAAGTGGTCTGGATGTAATATTTTTATCTGCTGTTGTCTAACAGTTTTTATCTGATTTGGGGCTTGTGGTAAACAATGGCTTCTGTGAAAATACAGTTAGTCATTTCAAAGCCTGGTGCATTCTTTAAGCAGTGGCAGAAGAAGTTATCTAGCACTACTGAACTTTAAAAATACTCAGCCAGTAAAAGTACGAATTTCAAATAAGCAAAAGTACCAAAGTTTGGCATCAACTTATATACAAGTATCTGGAAGAAAATCAGAATCATATATATTTTTTAATTACTAGGTTATTGATGCTTAATTGTGTCTATCACTGCTAGTAAAGGTGGTGATAATTGTAATTTCTTTGTATACTGCTGCTGGACATCTCAACTTCAATTTGATGTCAATTTGTTTATTTATTAGTTCATTTATATTGTGTATAAGCAAGTTGTCTGAATCTGTAAATAACTAAGCTGTCAGATAAATACAGTACAATATTGGCTTTCAAAATGCAAATATATTCCATTCCTGTGTAAAAGATGTGAAAATGCACACATGTACTCATGTATCTCTAAAAAACATGTTTTATTGTGCATTGCAGAAAGATCATTTTGTACCACTGTAACATCTAAAACTTCAATCCAGTGTTTTTTTAAGTACATCCATTACGAAAGTCTGAAAAAACAACTGAAAAATGTAGCTTTTTTGCAAACGAAACTTATATTGTTGTTCTTTCTCTATAATATGCAGAGCTTGAATTATGTCATGCTGTCAGTCGCCATGCTGTTATCTTCAGTGGATTATCATATTTCTTAGACGTGAAGGAGCAGTGTAGGATGTTTCCATTTTGCTTCAGCCGAGCTCGGTGCTTTGAAACTGTAGTCGGACGAATTTCAGATCAAAGAGGATCTGTGAGATGACAGTTGTTTTGATGTGTTCTACGACCTCAGATCTAACAGCCTCTGTGTTCTGTTTTCACCTGCTGTCACACACACACACACACACACACACACACACACACACACACACACACACACACACACACACACACACACACACACACACACACACACACACTTGCACCGTCATCATGACCTTAATCCAAACACTTTTATTTGAACAATATATTTTTCTTACATGACTTACAAGTGTGATTTTTATCTTGTCATTTGCTTATTTTGTAGCTGAGAATATATGAGCTCAGTGTGTGTATTTTGTGTTTTTTCAGAAAGACCTTAACACTACATAAAAAGGTTTTTATTGAACTTCTGTCTCTGTTGAAAACACCTTCTTTAAATATGTGTAGGCCTACTTTGTCATGGGCCTGTCATTGTACTAATCAACTGACCTATCATATGATGCTCAGGTTCCTCTTGTGATTGTCATGTAGATGTGTGTGTGTATCATATGTACGCTTTGTGGTGAACATGTGCCCTCATTTCCTTCTTTTGACATCTGCTCAAAGGCCTTCCTATTTTTACACAGCTAAGACAAACATATCGTGGCACACACATATGTAATTTTCTTTTATCATAGAGAATTGGGTGTAAACGTATTGACTATATAGATTAGAAGAAGCCTATTTATATAGATTTACAAGTATAATATTTAACATTTCCACATTTAAATCATAAAGTCAGTAGACCTTTGTCATGTATGTTGTTGAATTGAGCAATTACATTATCTAAAATATGTAGGCCTACAACTATTTAAAAACAGGAGAAATGTGTAATTTTAATTGAGATAACAGTTCATTTGGTCTTGTCAGTCTTAACTTGGGACATTATTGACTTAAAACATGTCATTCTATTTATATAGATTTAAAGGTATAATATGTTACATTTCCACATTAATCTAAAAAGGACTATGTGATAATTTTTTTTGGTTGTCTGGCCTACTGATATTATCCCAAAAATGTCCAGAAAAATGTGTAATTTCAGTCAAGACACAGCAACTGTGCGTCTGTTGTCCTATAATGGCGTTTGATCCCTTTTTGACATTACATAAAGTGATTTAATGCATTTTAAATATAAAATAGTAATACGGGCATGTTAAAAAACTGAAAATATTATATAAAATCCACTTTGCTATCTACATATTATTGGAATATGGCCATATGCTAATGCTGCTGCAGCTAGCTTTAGCTCCCTGCTACTAGAGAGACTTGAACCTTGTTATGTTTGGGTAAAAGCGTCAGAGTTTTCTTCCAGAAGCTGTCATACAATTACTTTCTGTGAAGTTATGAGCCACATTTTGTCTTTATTTTGTAATAACTTTTTATTTTAACCGGATAAAGAATTTAAATCGTCATCTGGATCTTAAATTATCAGAGATAGCTACAAGCTAAGCTAATGTTAGCAGTTAGCTCGTAGCTGCGCCCTCCAATGTTCACCTTTTAAAAGAAGATTTGTAAGTATTTATCGCAGATATTGTTTGTTTTGGAGATTGAGTATCATAGTTAATTTGTTTTGGGGCATTTGTCCAGCAATGTCATGTCAATCACGAGTATAACACTAAATCAAAACTTTCTTTCAAGATTTACAATTCTTGCAAAATATGACATCTTCTATATATCTTTAATTTGAAGTAATGCGTAGAGAGAGGGTACAGTTGTGATATTAAAATGTGAAGAAAAGAGGAACAATATTACATAGAGAAATACAACATTATATAAAGTACATTAAGTCTAATATTGAGTACATTTTCAGTGTCAAATTATAATAAATGTAAGGCAAAGTGTTAATGTAATTTGGTGATTTATTAGTCGGTAGTTCAGACATTAATTTCCAGACCACCCTTTGTTATGTGGAGCCACTGTGGGGAAAACAGCTGACTATGACAGTGCCAAAACAGTTATGGACACACACACACACACACACACACACACACACACACACACACACACACACACACACACACACACACACACACACACACACACACACACACACACACACACTGATGTTGCATCCCTGTGTGATGTATTAGCAGATATAAGAGGCCAACCATAAAAGGCTACAGCAGCAACACAGGACAGCATCAAGCAGAGTCCCAGTGTCTGAGTTTACACTTAAAAACGAGAGCGATTCAAACACGAACAAATACTCCCTGCTGCCCCGAGTGATTTATTATTAATAAAATAAAAATATATCTTCACTGTGTCTGTCTGCAGAGGTGGAAGAAGCTATGATACTAAAGCAAAAGTAGAAATACTACGGCCTTTAGATACTTGTAATACTAGTCAAAAAGTTCTTTATGAACAATGGCTTTTTTCAAAGTATTCAATCTTTTTGGCATAAACCTTTATTTTGTTTTTATTGCTTTTAAATACACCTCAGAGCCTTGTAAAGTTTAGCTTGTCAATATTATTGTGTCAATAATTGTGTACAATATCCCGTTAATTTATGACACTGGTATTTTGCAGCTGAAATCAGCAACGTCTTCCTTTCATTGTGTTTTTTCTTTCTGGTACTGTTGAAGTTCTTGAATTTGCGAGTGTGTATAACTCAATTATTGATTATCTTTCAGCGTCAGATTGTAAACCATGCATTGCACCCTGTGGGTCTCCCAGTGCCTCTCTCAGTGTCCCGCCTCAGGCCCCCTTCGGGACGGGGTCCTCCTCCTCACTGTCCCCCCCCTCCATCGCTGAAGATGCCTTCTTAGGGAGCTCCAAAAAAGACACGGTAAAGCTCATTATTTGTTTATATTCTTTGCGTTATGAGTCATGCTATCTTTCTGGCTGGAGATTAATAGATCTTCAGAACCAGGGCTCGAAAAAAAACACCACGTAGGAGCCAAATGCCGGTTAAAGATGCAACTGGGTAGTAGATATGCGGGCACATACCAGCCAAAAAAACATTAATAAATTAAGTGCCTGCTAAAGTTTGATTTGAACTTTCATTAGTCATTTGTCTGGTTAACAAACAAAAAAAGGTAATTTTGCACCCTGTCCACAATCTACTGACTAACCAATTCCTTTTTTATTAAGACACATTTTTGTTTTTTGTGAAAAATCTATTTGTGTAAACCTAAAGAAAACTTTTATATTTTCACCGTGAAGAAGCGACAAGGTGTTAGCACTATTTTGTTTATATGAGGAATATATTAAATGTGTAATCTAGTCTTTGGACCATGCTTTTTAATATTGACGGACTGACTGACTAATCTGATGGCATTGAAGCACAAAGCGAATCAAAGGAAGCATGTGAAACGTGTAGTTTGCTGGAACTTTGATTCATTTTGGTCAACATTTGCGATGATATAAATGTCATTGTGAGCACACCCTTAAGAAGCTGACAGCATTTCTAAAGACATACTTTTTTAAATGTTGCATGAATATATGTATCTCATCTACATGTCAATTATTTTTCTCCATGTCTCCACTGTTTTTAAATCTTTCCTGGCTCCGTCCTTTCTGCTTATACAGGATGCGTGTTCAGTCGTGAGCGACTACGACTGCCCCTGTGCTGAGTTGAGCAGCAGTGTGGAGGACCTGCTGGACCTCAGCTCTTCTCTCAAAGACTCAGAGTACTTTAAAGACCTGGAGGGAGGGATACCGGCTTCTTTTACTGCATCCACAGAGAGAAACCCCCTACCTCTCGGCCTGCAGGTGTCTCTAAACACAGACACCAAACAGCCTACACACACTTCTCTGAGCACACATTCTCATCGAGTCAATGCACCACCTTCCCCCTTCTACATCCACCCTGCAGAGGAGCCACATCAGAACTTTGTGGTCACTCAGTTGAGGCCGAAGTTACACCCAGGCTGCATCATTGACAGCGATGAGTCCTCGGGTCCTGCAGTAGGACTGAGCCTGACCATTAATCTGAACGGACTGCTGGGGTCGATGGAGACGGCTAAAGGGATAACGGGATCGCAGGAGGAGAAGGAGCAGGGCGGTGTGGGTTTAGACGGAGAGCTGGACGAGGACAGCTTCCCTATTCTGGTCCGGTCCATGTCCACGTCTCGGAGGCACAGCTTGGGGGTCCCCATGTCCCCCCTTACCTTGGGGAGGAGGTGAGGTGGATGTTTGGAAAGGATGGAAAGAATTAGAAGAACCAATCTCGTAAAAAATCTATATAATTGCACAAAAGCTGCACTTGATTTATGATGATTGTTGGGGAAGATGCGTAAAAAAAGTAATGTTTAAAAAAAAAAAAAGAGAGAGAGATCTTGTTGGTTACACAAAGCTGCTTCGAAAAAGACTCAAAACTAGGTTATAAACATTGAAAATGTGACAAAAACACCAACAAATAATAAATAATAACAACATCTAATAAAAAAAGTGACATCCTAGATAAAAAAACACTTAATTGAGTTTAGCTCAATCACTTTACAGTGTTCACAGTTATACAAAACGCTTTTCTATACCCACTAAAACAAATTATTCAGCTTAAATTGAAAGACAAATGGGTCTGGGCTGCTCAAAGGGGTTTTTATTCACAATACAATGGCATTAGTAATATAAAGATACTCAAAATAATGATGTTCTTTTTAGGCCCGAAATTGTAGTTTGTAGTTTCAGTAGTTAACAAAAAAAGTTCTTTAACTTCTTGAAGCGAACTGGAAATATTAATGTTGTTGCAGACTGCTGTAAAATATCACGTTATATGCACTGAAGTCTGACATACGTTTTACCTGAAAAGTAAACATTTTCACATAGCTTATTGTAATAACCCTGTTGCTGTCATCTAGCTGAGCTCAGTATGGCTCGTGGTGTGTCTAACCACAGCTTCTTCAAAAATGAAGTAGAGGTTATTTTGTCATGTGAATATAAGGTGCACTAAAATACCACAGAAAAACAACACAAGAACAAACTCAGGTCACAGAGTCCTGCTCAAATGTTTGTTTTGTTTTTGAGATACTTGTACTTTACTAGTGAGTCATTTATTTTCATATACTACATTTCAGAGGACTATATTGTACTTATTCTGCCCTAATGTATTATACAGCTTCGGTTAGTTTAAGATATTTTCACACTTTTCCTTATGAAGTTGTCACCTTGAGCTCTAGGTAATTTCATTTTCATTTTATTTCTCACTATTTTAACTATATTTATAGGGAACATTTTTTATTAATTGAGAAAATAATAATCGAATAACACAATGTCTACTAGTATCACACTAACAAAGGTAATTTATGAAATAAATACTTTTACTTTGAATCATTTTAGTATATTTTCCTGACGATACACACATATTTTAACAGGAATGCAGGACTTTTACTTGTTAAAGACTATTAGAGTGGTATAAGTGCTTTTACATGAGTAAAGGATCAGAATACTTGTGTGCTTATATGTGTGTGTGTGTGTGTGTGTGTGTGTGTGTGTGTGTGTGTGTGCCAGGCTGAGTCTGGACACCATGGCCACGGACAGTGATGGAGAGAGAGAGGAAGATGAGGAAGAGGAGGAAGGAATGAAAGGTTTCTTCCCGTCCCAACAGCAGCAAACATACGGCTCGGGTCCCGGAGAGGAGACGGACGACTACAGTCTGAGTGTCCCCTGTCCCAGAGCCAGAGTCACCAGCATGGTAATAAAACAACGGTGACATATTATACAGATTACTGTCTAGAAAACACAACTCAAGACCAAAGCTCAAGACCAAAGCTCAAGACCAAAGCTCAAGACCAAAGCTCAAGACCAAAGCTCAAGACCAAAACTCAAGACCAAAACTCAAGACCAAAGCTCAAGACCAAAGCTCAAGACCAAAGCTCAAGACCAAAACTCAAGACCAAAACTCAAGACCAAAACTCAAGACCAAAACTCAAGACCAAAGCTCAAGACCAAAGCTCAAGACCAAAACTCAAGACCAAAGCTCAAGACCAAAACTCAAGACCAAAACTCAAGACCAAAGCTCAAGACCAAAACTCAAGACCAAAGCTCAAGACCAAAACTCAAGACCAAAACTCAAGACCAAAGCTCAAGACCAAAACTCAAGACCAAAACTCAAGACCAAAGCTCAAGACCAAAACTCAAGACCAAAACTCAAGACCAAAACTCAAAAACACAACTCAAGACCAAAGCTCAAGCTCTAGCTTCATACATAATGGTTTCCACTGAAGACATGAATCCTGAAATCCTTTAAATATATACTTTTAACCGAAAAAAACATCACTTACTGAGATAGCTGGACAATTAGATATTAATAACTTAGCAATGCAAGATAAAACACAGCAAAGCTAAGACCAAAATTAGTTGGTTAACCTACTTAGAAAAGGTAGTTCCAAAAGGGAATAAATTGTCTTGTTATATGAAATATAGCCAATTGTAAATGGCTCTAATAAAACATGCGGGAATTACAGTGGACAATAATGTGCAGTTTTGCTCAATTATGCCTCTTTTCCAATGTTCCTAGACTAAGTGTTAGGGATAGTGAAACAGGCAAGACCCAAATGCAGGTTGAACAGAGAAAAAGACCTTTATTTCAAGGTGTAGGTGACAAAAAACAGAGCACTACCCTGAGAACACAGTCTCAGACAAACGAGAAACCAACAAAGACAGACAGCAAAAACAGAACTTAAATACACACAAGACTAATCAACGAAACAAGAGACAGGTGAGGAGGGAGGAGAAAACACAGGGGCACCAGGTGAACACAATCAAGTAAACAGGTAGGAGGGAACAGGTAGGAGGGAACACACGTTGGCCGTTTCTCAATCGCGAGGATGCTTGCTTGGTAGCACATGTCTTCCGAGTCACTTCCTTCAGAAGCTAGGCAAGAATCCTTCCTGGCATTCGGAAAACGAAGAGTGGAACAGGCTAGCAAGTGTGCAGGTGTGCGTCATATGAGAGGCCCCGCCTTACATTTTCCGCCACAGATTTGGGGAAATTGGTCCGTGCGCAAAGCATTGTGGGGATTTGAAGGACGCGAAGTCTACCCATGTGCAGCCTCGAAATTACCCCCATAACCAAGGACGCGGCCTCGGTGGAATTCCAAGTATGCTGGAGATTGGAACAGTCCTTCGGCGGCACTCGATGACGTAGTATCCTTGAAATATTGGCTTGGAAGCCAGTTTCCTCGAGATTGAGAAACGGCCAGGATTAACATCGATTTAATACATTAATGTAGCCTTTGTTTCTGCTAAAAGAGATGTCGACCAGCTGGGGCAACAAGGAAATCGGCGAAATCGAGTATGACTATTAAAAAATAAATAATTATTATATTAATATTGACAATAAAACCNCTCCTGCTGAAGTTCAGGTGTATATCAGTATGTAGTGTCTCCACTTTAAAGAGTCCTCTCCTGCTGATGTTCAGGTGTATATCAGTATGTAGTGTCTCTACTTTAAAGAGTCCTCTCCTGCTGATGTTCAGGTGTATATCAGTATGTAGTGTCTCTACTTTAAAGAGTCCTCTCCTGCTGATGTTCAGGTGTATATCAGTATGTAGTGTCTCTACTTTAAAGAGTCCTCTCCTGCTGATGTTCAGGTGTATATCAGTATGTAGTGTCTCTACTTTAAAGAGTCCTCTCCTGCTGATGCTCAGGTGTATATCAGTATGTAGTGTCTCTACTTTAAAGAGTGCTCTCCTGATGATGTTCAGGTGTATATCAGTATGTAGTGTCTCTACTTTAAAGAGTCCTCTGTCTGAAACTAGAGCCTAGTCTGTTCTGATTGGTTAGCTGGCCGGCTCAGTTGTGATTGGTCAACCAGCTTAGAGATGTCCCGCCCCTTAGCCTATCACGTCAAATGTGTTGGAGCGCTAGCCAATAGAAGAGCAAGTGTTCCAGAGTGATGTCACTATTTTCCGGAAGTAAACAAAGGAGGGATGTTAGCCTTTGCACAAAGCCCTATATATCACACTAAGGAAAGAATAATAGGGCCCCTTTGAGTAATGACTTCTTCCACCTCTGTTGTTAGGTGAGGCTGGTAAACTGAAGCACATCACAGTGTTAATGTTTGCAGTGAAATTGCAGCTGTCTGTTCAGATGTATTACTATGCTCTGTTATTTGCATAAATCAGAGTTTAGATGTCATTGTTCCACCGCCAAACAATCATGCTCACAATTCATTCCGGTCCAGATTGTACCAATTTTCCTCTGCCAGCGAATGAAATCCTTTGTCACATAATTTATCATCCACTCACACAAACAGCCCCAGCACTTATTTGTAATCTTAGCTTCTGAACCCAGCTCCGGCTCTGTTTCACCGTGTGTTCACAAACAGGTGACAGCATGAATTCAGACGACACAGTGTGTGCAGATTGCGTCGAGCCAGAAAAAACCACAGATCTACCTGAAAGTGTGAAAAGGAGCTTCTGCCAGTATGGTGGAGGGGGGGTGAACTGTGTCAGCTTTTAAGAGAAAAATGAAGCCGGCAAATCATAGAGCCGAGGGGAGAGAGGGATTAGAGGGACGGATATGAAATGTAGGGAAATTATGGAGGTGTGCAAAGAGGAGAGGGATTTGTAAATATGTTTGAAGTAAATATGTATTGTATTATTCAGTGTGTGTTGCGTCTAAGGCACTATGACTGCAGATATATTGATTTTGATGTATTAATTTAAGACTGTACATTTTCTGTTCTCAGCTATACATACGCAGAATATATCTAAATGTCCATGTGATACACGGCTAACATTGGAGTATCTGTAGGCAAATGATGCTTATATAACATCTAAAGGGCTGCTGCAGAGCCTCAGTGCTGTGGCTCTGTCTGTGGACACATTATTTTTGACAACCTGAGCCCCCAGACATGGAGAGTAAATGAATAATATGACAGAGATGGGAGGGGGTGAAAATTGAAGGCACACACAAGAGAGCCAATAAAAATGACAGCAACCCAGTTGAAATGTTGTGTGTGTTTACGTGTGGATGAAATGTGCACTGCGTGTGTGTGTACTAAAGTGAAAATGTGGCGTTATCAGGTTGGGACAGCTGAGCAGCACAGACACTCGGCCCCCCCTTGAGAATACATTTTGTGAGTACTTTGCAGAGCAGAAGGGGGGTGAAGATGTGTTTAGGAATAGACTCCTCCTGCTTTTAAATGCTTCTCTTAAGAGCCATCCAATTCAGCCTTCATTCACATCGCTAATGCGCCCTTAAACGTTGCATGAAATCCCGTCCATTTATAATGCCAGCCATTAAAATACTATTAGAGTTTACGTCTGCAGCTATCAGTGGATGAGTGATCAATCTATCATAATTATGGTTATTGTATGAATGGGCATTGACGGTGTCTTTCGGCTTTGTGTGTCCATGGGGACGTGAGGAGGCGGAGATAGTGCAAAGCCAACATGGGAAATGAAGACTTTATTTACCTATGTGAGAGGCAAACAGAAATCGGCAGCTGCCCCCATTAGCCCCCCTGCCCCCACCTGTGACTGCAGATACTGTGATAAATGGAGATCAGAACACTCAGGTGACTCAGACTAGACCCGCCTAATCACTTATCCTGCGGTGAGTCATCATCAGCGGCTTGCACTGTCAACACCGACCCCATCAAAAGCAAGAGACGGAGGGAGAAGTGCGTATGTGCTTACATCTGGACATGTGTGTGTGTTTGTGTGTGTGGGTGGCTGATGGCAACTTTCCGCTGTGGTCATCAAGTGTCCTAACAATGTGACTGTGTCCGCCTTCAGCACATGTGTCACACTCACATGTAGATGAAGAAGAAGCACGCTCTGTGATTTTGGTTGTAATTTGTTTTCAGTACATTTTGTTCCCTGCATGCACTTCACCTCCAAGGCCTCCATCCTTTATTAAGTTACAGTTATAATAACGGAGGGGAGGTTAATTAATGTCTCCGCATTAACCAAATCACTTTCTGTTATCTTACTTTCAGGGCAGGAACATTGCAGAAGCACACCTTGATAATTTAAAACCTATCCAGTATTCAAAAAGTATTCTATATCTTTTGTAAAACCACAAAAAAGATTAGATTTCTGCATTAAAACAATCTGTTGCTTTCCCTTTATCTGTCGAGTGTCCCTTTTTTGTCTCCAGGAGACCCACTTGTTTGGTTTCATTGATTGCATGGTCTCAGTCCCTATGGCAACTGCAAATTACCATGAAGGACATAATTATAGGTTGCTGCAGAATGTCTGAAAACTCGTGAAAAAATACTCCTTTTTTTTATCAATTTCTACGTGCCACATCCACCGTTTTCCTATTCATGATCGATATTAAAATTGATTTTGTTTTAGTGAGAAGATAGCTGCAAAGTGCATAGTGTTATACAGCCAACAGAAGAGAAAAGGGTATACAGATACAGACGTGTTCCTGGTGTTTTATTTTCCCTCTCGCACCATAATGTCGCTCTTCATGTAGGCGTGACTTCCCCCCCGTGCCCTGAAGTTAGCCAGCTGGCAGCTGCTGATTCTTCATGTCCTTTTCCACTGCTCTTTCCCCAGCCCTAGATTACCATCATGACATTTTAGACAGCATGCAATTGCAGTAAGACATGTGAAAAGAAAATCTACAGCTCTAAAAATATAACCTTTTGCCGCTACAAGACATGTTGATACCTCTGTCAAACTCCAACTGTTTAATTTGATGCTGCAAGAGAACGTGCTACATTCGCACAATGCTTAACAAATCTGTACAACAA